TTGAAAAACAAGCTTTAAAATTTTATTTTATTTTGGGGACAGGGGTGGTTGGGGGGCTGGTTTGAGGATAGGGACAAAATAAATTGATTTTTTCAACAAAAAATAATTGTAAATTTGAAGTTGACAGAGAGTTTTGGAAAATGTTTTCCTTAAGTTTTGAAGGGAAGTCATTTTCCTTAAATTTGAGGAAAATGAGTTGATTTGGAAAACATTTTCCAAAATATTTAACCCAACCAAACATGTTTTCCTTCATACCAAACACACCCTAAATCATCTACTATATAAGTAAACAGACACCATAAACGAATATATGATCTATTAAAACTGAGCAAATATTTATTCTATAATAAATATTATATCTTAACATATGATTAATAGTATATATCCCAACACACTAGACCTGATTCACGGTAATAGTTATGGCATATTTATGCTTTTATGAGTATGCAGATGAAAAATATACTGAAGATAACATATACATAGTGAAAGTGTTCGATTCTTCTACAATTTTCAGTATGCATTTTCACTACACTAGCACTTTAATTTGTAATATCAGTTTAGAGCAATCTATAACATACCCAATGTTGTAATTTAGGGCAATCTATGAGCTCTTAACTGATACTTTAAGATTTTTGCAACTTATTATTTTTCTCATGTGTAATTGACAGTTTTGTTATGTGTTAATAAAAAAAAATACAAAGTCCCTTGCCTAGAGCTATTTTAGTTTCTAAAAAGAATAATAATAATCAAAATTATCCTCTCAAACTAATTAATTAATCGGCGTTGGAGACTGGATTTGATGGTACCATTGCATTCCAACACTTGACTTCAGTATCTTTTGGCATTTTGTAGTGTGCTCTTGCTATAATAATAATTAATACAACACATAGTATATGGATCCTTCAATTATCTAAAGCCAATTTGTTGTTTATTTTGCAATAAACCTTGAACAATGTTATGAATCTGATGATCATTGAACCATGTAACAACAACATAGTGTAATCCTATAACACGTAGGAGCCACATAAATTACTCTGAAGAAGAAACCTTGACACCAAATCCTAATTTACACCAGAAAACACCAGTCATGGCCATGATAGTCGTTGACCAACCTTCCCCAGAGGAGGCTGGGCCAACAACAATATCACTGACAAAAGAACCATTGAATAAGACATGTGAATATGATCAACCCCCCCCCTCCCCCAAACCTTATATAAACCGAAGAAACAAATATCTTATCTGCATGGGGAACCAAGGATATTGTGGCAAGAAGAGGAGGTGGATCAGATGATTATCAAAGAAGATTTACAGTTTGCTGTGATAGGAAATTTTTTGTATGGCTAGCCTGATATTCAAGATTTACGAAGATTGATCCCAAAATAATGTGAACTAGAAGGAGAGGTAAGCATTGGACTGTTGAGCAACATGTATATATTGATTCAGGCTTCAAGACTGGAGGACTATATGAGTCTATTATCGAAGCCACAATTCTATATAACACATAATCAGATGTCGTACCCAATGCGAACACTCAAATGGGATCCATGTTTTGATCCATCGGAGGAGACATCAACAACAATTGCTTGGATTTCCTTTCCAGCTTTGCCACCAAATTTTTTTGGGGAGGAAGCATTCTTCTTCCTTGCAGCAGAAGTAGGAAAACCATTGCAAGTGGACTTGGCCACAAAAAACAAAACTAGGCCAAGTTGTGCAAGGGTCAATGTGGAAGTGGACTTGCTAGGAGATTTTCCGAAAAGAATAAATCTAGGCATGCGGATGAAAACTGGGGAAGTGAAAGAAAAGTGGATAACCATCAAATATGATTATGTGCCTAAGTATTGTAAGAACTGTAAGCTTCAAGGACACAATGGGAATGAATGTTTTATAATTCACCCAGAACTATATCAGGAAACTGAGGGTACTGAAGCATACAAGAAGGAGTAGGCGAGAAGAGGGGATGAAGAATTACCAAAGGAGGACACAGGAAAAGCAAAAGTTGGGGAGAATGAGGTTTTTCAGGAACAGAGGAGAAAAACCTATCAAAAGGGAGGAAGACAACCATATAAGGTCAAAGTGGAGCATAAATGGAACCACATACCACAAGTGCAAGAAAAGGGGACAGCAACAAGCAACAAATTTGGGGTACTATATGACACTAAAGAAGATGAGAGGGCAGACAATGAAAAGGAGAAAAGAGTACAGACCGATGGGGAGCGAAAAACAAATAATGAGGAATACAACAAAAATATAGAAGTGGTATTGGAATCAGCGGAAAGAAATGGCGAACAATTATTAGGGTCCAATGACAACAACAAGCAACACGATGCTCACAGTTCAGTAAATGATATAGGCAAAGAGGATAGGCACAAGGACTCAGAACAATCAGAAAATACTTCCCCTTAACTGGAAGAGTATAATGATAATGTTGGAGCTACTGATGAAGATGAAGCAGTACCAGTGACAAACCAAGATTCCAAATTAATTGAGGAAGGTGAAATAAACGAAGAAGAAATTGCGTAGGAGAAGGCAAAAATTAATACCCTATCAGAACAAGAAATCAAGAAATCAGGGAGAAGAAAACCACAGAGGAAGATGAAAACATGGAGAGGAGTATGTGAGTAAGAGTGGAGATCTCTCTCCAAGGCAGATTGGAAACCTGAAAGAGAAGATAAAGAAAGCACCCAAACAGGATCAACCTCAATCACAAAGAAATACAAGGAGTAAGAAGGGGTCCTCTTTTACATCGGATTAATGATTAACAAGGCTATATTTTGGAATATCAGATCTGTAAGAACTCAAAAGGCGTTTGAGAGATTAGTAGATCTGCATAAAATACATCACTATTCTTACATTGCTTTATTAGAACCTTTTCAAAGTCCATCTGAATTAGAAACATACAGGAGGAAATTAGGGCTTCCTAATGCTAGGGTGAATAGTTCAGCAAAAAATTGGGTCTTCTGGGAAAATGGTTGGGTGGAGACAGATTCAACAGATACATGTCAACAGTTAACAATGAAGTACCAATTAAGGGGAACTGATGATAAATTCACAGTAACGACAGTGTATGCAAGGTGTAGTGCTTTGGAGAGACTAGAGCTATGGGAAGATTTGGAAAATATTGTTGATCACACTATCAGCCCTTGGTTGGTGGGAGGAGATTTCAACACTATAATTGATGAGTCTGAGAAGTTGGGTGGACTGCTAGTGACCAACCAGGAGACGGCAGACTTTGCATCTTGTATTAGTGCATGTTCTTTGAATGAGCTAAAATTTGTTGGAAGTTGTTACACTTGGTGGAATGGTCGAATAGAATACGATTGCATCTTTAAGAGACTGGATAGGGTTTTTGGGAATAATGATTTTATGCAGTTATTACCTAATAGTGAGGTTCATCCCTTAATTAGGCAGGGCTCAGATCATACACCATTACATGTGATATGTAATGCATTACAGGAACAAGTTGTGAAGCCGTTTAGGTTTTTGAACTTTTGGACAAAGCACAAGGATTTTCATAATGTAATGAATGAATGATGGAATGAAGAAGTTCTGGGGGTCCCCTTTTTATATTGTCCATACCAAACTGAAGAAGACCAAAACTGTATTGACATCTTGGAGTAAGAGGACTTTTGGCAATATTTTTCAGAAAATTGCCACTTTTGAAGATATAGTGAAAGTCAAGGAAGTGCAGCTAGAAATTTCTCCAACATAAGAGAATAGGAGCCTACTCAGCAAGGCGGAGGCAGATTTGAAGCGATATCGACATATAGAGGAGGAGTACTGGAGACAGAAAGCTGGAATGAAATGGTACACTGATGGAGATAAAAACACCAAGTTTTTTCATGCTTATGTGAAGGGAAAGAGAAGAAAGCTTCATATTAAGGAGATTCATACAAGGCAGGGAGATATCATTAGCAGATCTCATAATATAGTTGAAGAGGCCGTCAATGTTTTTAAGGAACAGTTCATGGAGAATCAGGAGTGGAATAACGTTGAATTACTTCAATGTATTCCTAAGCTGGTCACAGACGGAGATAATGAAGAGATGGAAACAATGCCAACCAAGGAGGAAGTGAAGCATGTGGTCTTCTCTCTAAATGGGGATAGTGCGAGTGGTCCTGATGGGTTTTCGGGACAATTTTTTCAGTCATGTTGGGATACTATTGGCACAGATATTACAAATATGGTGAAGGCCTTTTTTTTGTGGATGGGAGTTGCCCAAATATGTGACTCACACTAATCTAGTACTTATTCCAAAGAAGGAGGAGATTAAGACCTATGGTGATCTTAGACCTATCAGTCTTAGCACTTTTGTAAATAAGACCATATCGAGGTTGTTGCATGAAAGAATAGAAAAGTGCTCCCTAAAATTATTTCCCCTAATCAGTCAGGATTTGTAAAGGGTAGAAGCATTTCAGAGAATGTGTTGCTGGCATAAGAGATTGTTAGGGATATAAACAGGAGGAGTAATTTGCACAATGTAGTGGTCAAGTTGGATATGACAAAGGCATGTGATAGGGTGTCGTGGAAATTCTTGGTAAAGGTATTAAGGAACTTTGGGTTCTCTGAGAGAATTATTGAAATGATTGTGAGATTAATTAGCAACAACTGGTACTCAGTATTGATGAACGGGCAATCATATGGATTTTTTCAATCATCCAGAGGACTCAAACAAGGAGACCCCTTGTCACCTACCCTTTTCATCATTGCGGCAGAGGTCCTAGCAAGGCAACTGAATAATTTGTTTGATGACCAGGATTTTAGAGGCTATGGTATGCCTAAGTGGAGCCCAAAAATAAATCACTTATCATACGCTGATGACACCATATTATTTTGTTCAAGACATAAACGATCTATGAAGATGATGATGAAGGTACTTCAGGATTATGAAATGGCTTCAGGGCAGATGATCAACTTGGATAAGAGTATGTTCTATATGCATGAGAAAACTCCAGTGAGGGTTGTTAATCACATCAAGAGGAACACATGAATCAGACAAGGTCATTTTCCTTTCATTTATCTCGGGTGTCCTGTTTTCTACGGAAGAAAAAACAAGATGCACTTTGAAGAATTGATTAAAAAGGTGGGGAAGAGACTAAGTCTTTGGTAGAATAAATTGTTGTCTTTTGGGGGTAGATACATTTTAATTGCTCACGTCCTACAGTCTATGCCTATTTATCTGCTATCATCTATGAACCCTCATGTCAATGTGATTAATCAACTCCACAAAATTTTTGCAAAGTTTTTTTGGGCAAATGCTACTGGATCAAGGAATAAGCACTGGGTGTCATGGGATAATATGTGCTATCCTAGGGAGGAATGAGGGATAGGATTCAGATCACTACATGTGATGGCTAAAGCTTTATTTGCTAAGCTATGGTGGAACTTCAGAACCTCTACATCTTCTCTGTGGAGTGAGTTTATGTGGAATAAGTATTGCAAAAAATTTCACCCAATTATGGCAAAGGGATATGGAGTATCGCATGTCTGGAGGAAAATGATGACAGTAAAGGACGAGGTTGAACATAACATATGGTGGCAGGTAAAAGCTGGAAATTCTAGCTTCTGGTTTGACAATTGGACTCAACAGGGTGCCTTATACTATGTAGATGGAGAAAATGCAATAGAAAAGGAACTGAAGGTCCAAGAGTTAATAAGGGGTGGAGAATGGGATATACAGGGATTGAGGAGCAAATTATCTGAAGAAATGACAACACATGTGGTGAAAACATAAAACCTCCTACTGATTCACAGAGGAATGACACGCCTTGGTGGATGGGTAGTACACAAGGCAATTTCACTATGAAATCAGCCTATGAATTACTGAGACGGAGAAATGAAAATAAGGAGGAGTACAGAAGGATCTGGACTAAAGGATTACCTTTCAAAATGAACTTTTTCTTATGGAAGGTTTGGAAAAGAAAGATTGCTACAGATGATAATCTGAAAATCATGAAGATTAGCATTGCATCGAGATGTTGGTGTTGTGAGGAGAAGGCCGAGGAAACAATGGCCCATCTATTTCTAACTGCACCCATAGCTACTAAGTTATGGAGGCATTTTGCTATTTTTGCAGGGATAGACATAGAAGATATGCACTGGAAGCAAATCATAATGACTTGGTGGACAATTGACACAACTCCCAAACTGGTGACAGTATATAGAGCGATGCCAGCTATAATAATGTGGATCATATGGAAGAGGAGAAATGAGATAAACATGGAGGAAATGTCACTTTCATGGAGCTGGTATGGCAAGTACAAGACTTGGTTTGGAAACTAATCAAAACCTTGTACCCATGGATGAAGATAGGAAATAAAAGTTGGCCTCACACTATTGCCCTGCTGAAGGAATACAAACCAAGATTATACTGCTTGGGAGTGACATGGCAATTCCCTGAAAAGGACAAGTTAAAATGCAACATTGATGGTGCATGTTGGGGAAATCCAGGAAAGTGTGCTTCAGCTTTTTGTGTTCGAGATGAGAAAGGGGATTTGATTTATGCAAAAGCTAGAGGAATCGGAATAGGTACCAATACAGAAGCAGAAGTCTATGCTATTAAAGAAGCGTTTTGTCTAACTCTACATGTACAAGGTATAACCATGGAAACAGACTCACTTACCCTCGAGAGGATGATAGAAAAGCAATGGAAGGTTCCTTGGGAATTAATAGAGATAATAGAAGATATAAGGGTTAAATCACAGTCATTACAAGGAAATATCATACACATTTTCAGAGAAGGAAACACTGTGGCAAATGCGCTAGCTAATGAAGTAATAGAAGCACAAAATACAAAGGAGTATCACTGTTTTCAAGACCTACCAGCAAGCATAAGAAAGTAAATTAACATGGACAAATCACAGATCCCTAATCTGAGGATTAGGACTCGAAGAATAAGCAGGCAATGATGAAGACAAGAATCAGCAAGGAAAGAAGAAAAATACAGACACATAACACAGAGATTCACAAAGGGGGTTACATTAATTACAAACCCAAAGGAAATAAGAAGCACAAATATAAGTTTGTTTGCCTGGCAAATGACAATATATTTGACATTAACCTAGCTAAATGTTCTTGTCACCAAGATCACCAAACAGAAGGATAAATGTAGTCTTCCACCACAACATTCCAGAACAAAAACCAATAGGGAGGAACACGAAGGTGAACTAGCAGAATGGAAGCAAAAGAAAAATGAAGGGAAGGAGAACTCACGAGGAGGCGTCTACACATTTTATCTTGATCCATCATTTACTTGGGGATAAAACACCGACAATCTGGAAAGAAAGAAGAGAGGTCAGATCGGCAAAAACAGAAAAAAATGAAAGTAAGTTTGGAGCTTACCAAAGGCGAGTAAAGATGATCGACAGAGCCATGGAGCTGGAAGATACCCAGATGAAGAACAACACAAAGTGGGGACAAAAGGAGAAGAGTATTTTTAAGTATGGTCTAGAGATTAGGAAACCTTTTGTTTTTATTTTGGACCAGGCAGTTGGGGCCTAGTCTTACTATGTAAAGACTGACTTTTCTTTTGCCTTATTTCAATAAATCGGTCCAGTCATGGACCAAAAATTGATTAAAAAATAAGAATCTAAAAAAGTGATGTGTACACAACCTTACTCCTACCTTCGTGAAGGTAGAGACTTCTAAGCTCAAATAAAGCACATCAAAATCTTATTTAAAACCATCTCATATCCAAACCTAGCAACTAAACTAGCATATGGCAGATGAATCACAAATACTAGGTAAATTTTTTAAACAAAATCCTTGCAGGGGCACCTTTGTTAGGTATAAAACGTTTTTACAATTTTCTTGTGTTCGCTTGGTAAAAAAAAAATTTAAAAATATTTCATGGCTTCTCTAATAGAAATAGGATAGAAATAGGAAGAACAAGTTGCACAAGTGACATTCCACATTGATTGGTGTCTTCCCCACCATCCAACACACTTCATCTTCACTATTTGTTCAAATATACTTTATACCGCTCCATTAGTAAGATAATCATAAAGAGAAACATTTAAGGAAGAGATGTAGGATAATTTGCACAAGTACTCTCACAATAAAACTATTAAATGTCTTTCCCAAGGAGAATGTAAAAGAACTTCAAAGATAGGTAATATAGACATTAAAGTACTTGGACTCGAGCCATTTATATAATGGCATTTCAGGAATTTAAAGCTACTGTTTGCCAATTGATACAACCAAATGCACCAACAGTTATTACATCTAATAAGTAATATTCGAACAAACAGATGCAACTCATTGCATCAGAACAAAGAGGAGGACAGACATCTATAGCAACCATACAGCTTCAAGCTCACAGTGCTACCAACTAACACCCTTTATGCAGCGACCGCCTAGTGAGTCACCAGATGCTGATGTTGTTGTGCACTACACTAGCTAAGCTCGGAAAAAAGTGGTTGTTACACATTGATCAAAAACAAAAGGTGTACCTTGAACTACGAGTAGTTATTACTTAATAACAAGTAGAATCTACTCAAAATAGAGAAAGATGCCGATCACGGTTCCACAGCCATCTCTGCCTTGGACAGCAAAGGTTAAGAGTAGCAAGTGCTCCTTTGAGAACATGAAATTACAAGTATCCTTGAAGTATTCATTTTTCTTCTCCTCCAACATCATTCCACAATAGGACCACTCCAATTGTAATAGAACAGCATGAGACTAGAAAATCAGGTTTAGCAGAGACAGCAGGACGTTCAAATAAACTAAAATTCGTCATCTTTAAAGTTAACAGCAAGATCCCAGTAATGGGGAACCCCAGCATCAGCAAAAACTTTACGAGCAGCAGCCTCGGTCCTGCAGTCATAAACAAAAAACCTATGGAAGCTTGATTTAGCAACACTCCCTTGCCAGACCAACACGCACTTGTTGAGAGGCTTATCTTCATCTTCACCTTCACCTTCACCTTCATCATCTTCTTTCTTACCAGCAGCTGCCCAATCAATTCTTCTAAGCATAAGTTTCCCATATCGCTTGATTGATTTTTTCCCACCTTCAACAACAACAACACTAATACCTCCTGAGATCACTGCACACCCAGTCAAACGATTCTCCTGAGCATTAACATCCACCTTGAAGCGGGTTTGTGGGTGGGAGAGGTCATTAATTTTGTATACTGAAACAATAGTCTCCAGTGCGATATTTGAGTCATCAAAAAGTTTCCTCTCTTTCTTCTCTCGACGCTCATCAGGAGTAAGCTTACGAGCAATATTCCTGTCTACA